ACAGGATATTCGTTATTTTCAAAACTGATCAGAATCATTTAATATGAAATGAAATATAAATCTTAATAACGTTAATGCATTTTTTTTAAATGTACAGTACGAAAACTATTATAGTTCTAAACTTTACCAATGTTTAGATATTTTAGTTTATGAAAAAGACCCGAATATCTTCCAACTTGGAAGGTAAGTGTGCTATCCGCTGCGCCACCCGACCACTCAACGGGTATGGTCTCAAAGTCATGTGCATTGCGTTCACTTTTCCACCAATTTTTATAAATAATAGTGAATTTGCGTAAGACAGCAAACTTCTCCGTCTTTTCACAGATTGGTTTCCTTTGCCGATCCCGAGGGTATCACAACTGGCACGCGCTTAACCGTATAAGAGGACAAGGTTATCGCGATGTATACAGTTGTTGTAATTATAGCATACTTGTATAACAAGAAAATTCCTTTTGGATTTATATAAGAACTATATTTTGTTGCGTTTTTGATATACATATTCAAAGCGTCCGAGACAGATGCATGCGCACCGGAGTATTTTAACTTCTAATACTTTTAACAAATTATCAGGTCCTGTGAGCTGACGTGTGATTTTAAAATATGCTTGTCAAACTCTCGGAAATACATATATTGTTCTAGGGCTTCGGCATTGTAGACATAGCCAGAATCTCAAGTTCTGGAAACAGATTATATTATAACTTTAAGGGACTTTATTGGTGAATGTGGATGTCAAAATGAAGAGTCAGTATTTGACATGCATCTATATGTGAGCGAAAGACCGCCAATTACATCCAGATGCGTAATGTCATGTAACGTTCTGTTTCAAAAGTTCGTTTTAAAGTGATCTGTCATGACTGAATGTTTACATTAAAACGTCCCTCGGTGGCTGTCAGTGAAGCTATCGGTTTGTCTGTCAGCAGTCAGATGTGACAGTTTTCCAGACAGGCGATAAGCACTAAATAAACGTCATTATTCATCACACATGTTTCAATTCCATAGTTAACGAGATGACAAAAGGTCCCTAGTTCATACCGACAGACACGACTTGCAGCTGTCCCGGGGGTGTGAGTGGAGGTCAACTTTGACACAGACAATCAATGACACAATCTAGGATTTGACCACTGACCAGTGGGAAAGTTGTAACATGTCAACACGACACGGATGCGTCCGAATCAGTCATCACGACCAGTCGAACACTCACAAAAATAAAAATGTCGATGATCCGGGATTGAGACTCTGGTGTTTCAGCCGGAAGTCTGTGTCCGCGTAGGGTAGACAGATTGACAGACCTTTTACGGCGTTACAAGGACCCGTATACAATACCGACATTACAATGTTTGATTTATGTATTACTTTACCGAAATTCTAACACGCGCGCTAGAGGCAGGTGCTCTTCAAAACATAACAATACACATGTTTCTCTATTGCGTTACCATTGTCATGTTAAGATTGAGATATTTAAATATTCTCCCCACAAATTTGTATGCATGCTCTTAGGATATTGAAGAGCGGTAATCCATCTCATGTATTGCATATACACTAACCCGAACGTACTACTAAGAATTATGTGATGTGTATACACCATTTTATAATATCTGTAATGAAAATGATTTTGTATGTCCATCACTTGCACTCTAACCTTTGTTTGATCTAGGTTGCTATGGAAATGATTATTTTTAATTCAGGTTTTTTTACTCGTAAATAATGCAAATCACTGTGTTTCTACATTGCAAACCCTCAGCCCAATACCCATATTGACCAGGCAAACCAATCATCCCGATATCCAGATCTGCCAGGAAAACCCTCAGCCCAATAACCAGATCTGCCAGGAAAACCCTCAGCCCGATATCCAGATTGGCCAGACAAACCCTCAGCCCAATAATCAGATTGGCCATGGCGGAAAACCCTCAGCCCAATACCCGGATTTGGCCATGGCGGAAAACCCTCAGCCCAATACCAAGATCTGTCAGGAAAACCCTCAGCCCAATACCCAGATTAGCCAGACAAAACCTCAGTCCAATACCAAGATTGGCCAGGCAAACCCTCAGCCCAAAACCCAGATTGGCCAGACAAACCCTCAGCCCAATAATCAGATTGGTCAGTCGAATACCCAGATTGGCCAGACAAACCCTCAGCCTAATACCCAGATTGGCCACGGCGGAAAACCCTCAGCCTAATACAGAGATTGGCCAGGCCAACCCACAACCCAATAGAGATTGGCCAGACAAACCCTCAGTCCAATAGAGATTGGCCAGACAAACCCTCAGCCCAATATAGATTGGCCAGACAAACCCTCAGTCCAATAGAGATTGGCCAGACAAACCCTCAGTCCAATACCTAGGCAAACGAGTGATTGTAATTGGCATTTTTAAATTGTGTTTGACTGATATAGTTTTAAACGAACGTTTTCAATTGCCTCCCTTTGCCATAGCCATTTTTTAATAAAATATTAATAATTAAGTGAAAATCATCCAATGTCATTATTAATCATTATTTATAGAGGGTAACTTAACTAGCGTCAGGAATAATGCACGTTTTTTTCTGTTGCTGGTGATTCCATGGAAATAAAACGGTAACCGCATAGTGGTACAGAAAACGCCCATCGCACGTTAAATGAAGGAAATATAAGTTTGAATTTAATCCGTTAACAATTACTCTAGAAATCAAGTGGATACCGCCTTTCGACAGGCGTATAAAAACCTCTCCATGTGGAATCCGTCTTTCTTATCGATGGGCATTTTTAGACAAACACAAAATTAAAACAACAAATACCCTAGCACCCTCTTTATACGGGAATTGTATTTCCGTGCGAAAATCCCAAGATAATGTTATCTCCGCCTTAGTTTCCGCAAAGAGATTTCTGAATACAACTTGCTTGATGGCCTCTTCAATGGCTTCAGCTCAAAGAAAGATTTCCGCAAAATCTATGAATGGGAAAAGTGAGCAGGTGCTTGGTTTATAGATGTAAAACGGTGACGTATATCATAGCTCTATATGGACCCGGATTATATATGTTATTTCGGCAACGAATGTTTTAGCAAATGTTGTTATGGTCCTATAACACACTTTGATATTGATAACAAACTTTGTCAGCAATAGAAATGTGTGTTATAGGACCATAACAATATTTGCTAAAATTTTCATTATTTATATTTACATTTTGATAAAGTAGTTATGCTTTATTTAGTTATTTCGAACAGTTATTTGAACAGCAAATAAAGTGTTGAAAACAATGAAATTAGTGACGTCACAAAATAGATTGAGTAGTTACATTAGCAAATGTCTCACAACAACACCTGCCTTCTAATGATCAATGCATTGCAATGGAAGGATGCATAGCAAATGCAAATATATACATGTAACACCAATCTATCATTTGGAGATAATGGTTTTGCAGCACTGATAAACTTGGTACACTATTGGCCCGGGGGTCGGGGCCCCGATTAGTTATACCGTACAATTAATGTTCTATGGGTAGGCGTTTTGCTGCCACACACGCGCTTGGAAATGCATTTAATCATTGACCCGGGGGTTGGGCCAATATTGATTACTTTATGAAGTACAATCAACATATGGGCCTGGGTTGGTATCTTGCCGCATAAACACTTTCGTTAGCACAACGTCGTTGACCTGGGTGAGGTGAGGGGTAGGGGCGAGGGTGAAGGAGTAGGGGTGGTGGGGGCTAGGGCATATAACGTAATCCTTATTTAGTTTATTTACAACCAATAAAATACATGGGGGTAAGGGATACGACATAGAACGAAAGTTCTCGTTAGCACATGGGCCTGGAGTTCGGGGTTCATAAAGTACGGTTCATAACTTACAATCGATATATTATCTAGGGGTAGGGTCCAATTGCAGCACAAACACCTTCGTGCACGGTATTCTGAGCCCGGAGGTCGGGATACACGAACAATGTTGACTGCTGTCTTTTGTGTTACAACAAAATCAAGTGTTAACTTTTTTCTGTCTATGACTAACAATTTTACACATTTACAGTTATATTGTTATATAGTCGTAGTTTAAAGGCTCCTAGTATCCCCTCTGGACATGCTATAGTTATCAATTTCTATCATCAGTTTCGAATACATTATTAACAATTTATTTCAGAAATTTGAAAGATGTTCTCCCAAGAGTTCCATTTATCGCTCTTTCAAAATTAAAAATGAATAAGTTCAGCCATTATAATTTACATCAAAGGGATTCGACGACACCGTGTACGTCTGGTTTGTCAGCTGTGTCCCTAAAACTCTCCAAGTGCTATGTCTAGTTTAGGCTTTATTTACTTTTTAAAATAATAGAATTACTTAAAACTTCTTTTTATCGGGTTTAAACTTTCATGTTTAATATAATTTTCAAACTCGCCCAAACGTGACCACCACCATTGCATAGCATTGTGCTTAAACGTGTATTATGTATGTATCACAGGACGAATGGCTGACTGTATCGCCTTGTCCTGATTAATATTGTATCCGTACCCTTTTTGCTGGTGGTACGGAAGACGTCGGAGTCTACCGACGAAACATAATGTTTCATTATACAAACTTGTCCGTATGGATTTCTGCTGCCCTCGATTAGCCATCCGGCACAACAACATGTAATATATCTAATCGCATAAAGTCTGCTTTAAGGCTGGTGTACGTGGTGAAAAATAATGATTTTCCTGGTAACAAGTTCACAAAAAAGCAGATGATTTATGAAGTAGTGAGAAAAGTGTACCCTGCTGAGTGTTATCGCAATATGACTCAAGGTGATAAGACACTTGAAGGCAGTATTGTACAAATGTATAATTCAGTATTTACCTTTCCTGCTCATCGACAATGTCTGGGCAAAGTATTAAATATATTAGGCATATATAGGACGTGATCTCATTATAATATACCTATACAGATGTGTGCATACTCAGGCACACATGTACATAATTAACACACATACACATTAAAGTTATGGGATCTGGTTTGAAACTATTTTGTATATATATATAGATAGTGCCATGTTACCTTGAGTTAGCGTTATCAGCAGAAATGAACAGGAAAGCCACATGCAGAGATGGAGGGTCCACAGCATTGTCATGGCGATGCCTCATACCTCCCGACCCTCCGACATAAATCCCACAAACACGTCCAGGGGATCAGCACACACCACACTGCAGAGAAAGTAAACACACACTTGTATCGTACACGTCTGCTCCATGTTTTTAAATTTCGTTAACTGTTGAGCTGATAACTGAAGCCGTAATTCGAGTAGTATGGTTTAGTGTAGGGGCGTTGGAGCGAAGCGCCCCTATCGCACAGGTACGGTCGTAGTATTAGAAGCAATCAAGGAGCGGAACGTCCACCTGTCATCTCGCGTGTAACACGACGATATACCCTTAATGCTTGAATATACAATGTGTATAACGTCTATCCCGCTCGCGTAGTCGGTACATGTGACGGAAGTGTTAGTAGTATTCGTGGCGTCCAGGGAAGAGAACACTACTTCTACACCTTTCATCCGGGTACAAAATGTAGTTTTCCTACTCCTAAGATAGATATTTAGGTGCAGGCAGATAGTCCAAGTGTCTCTCATACAACGCAGAATGCTATTAGGACACGGCCCTGACAATGAGCGAGGGACGATCAAGGCGTATGTGTAGTCATGTTATGGGATTTTCTCAGGTAATCCTGTCATTCATTACAACGGAGTAGAACAGTAAAGGGATCACGGTTTGGGATAATTGGAATGTAGGATCGATTGATCATTTTGTGCCTGAGATTATAAATGTGCACTGCCAATACCTTACACTACAGAAAAACTAGACACGAGGCAAGGTGTGTTGTTCGCCGGGTACTTTCGCAATGGGGTGTCTTGGATGGCGTCTAAAAGGTACCGAGACAGAAGTGTGTTCAGGGGGCCATTAGCGGACATCTGGTATGCGAAACACTGGATAACAAATGTATTTTAGATGTTAATGGCCACTTCAAGGACAATTGAACATTTCAAATGTTATTTTCACGTGTAAAATATTCATAAATATTTAATAGACGCCGACGGTTAAAGACGCACAGTGAAAAGTGCGACTGATAAATGATTTCTCGTAACAAATTATTAGCTCAAGGTGAAAGTGAAAAGAATAAAATATTGAATGTCTTTGACAATTATTCGCACTGCAATATTTTGTTCGGTTACTGTGAGTTCAGAAGAACAGCATAAAGGAAGCGTCATCACGACAGTTGTTTTCAAGTACACGCTTGCATATATAACGGTTGCTTGTTGAGATTTTTTCTTTTTGTCTGTAACGATCAATGTGCAGCTGTTATAACATGTATATATTGTAACCATATGTATGATAGATATATAAATATATAAGTCAGCCTGAAGAAGCCCTAACAGGTATAAAGGCCTAGTGGTAGATCTTGGATACGTATTCCTATATATCCTTATTCTATATTTTATTCGGAGTAATTATGCGTAGGCGGTTGTAAATATCCGGATAGGACTAAGAACGATAAATGTAAGCGTTTGTCAACAATAAAACTAAGTGAATGGATTATTGACTTAATTCAACAATGTGAATCAGTATATACACTTAAGAAAACTTGTTTTGTAACTTATTGTTACAAATTATAATTCGTTGTTGCTAGGTGTTCCGAATGGCCGAGTAAGAGGATGCATGGTTTTAAGGATACCGGAATATTTGAAAACGGCATTTCCATTGTATTGCTGGGTTATCATTACATCATTTAAATCTTAGCTAAATTATGATTTGTAGAAGTGATATCTTTCAGTATCTGTTTTGAAATTCGCAGTACCGTAAAGTAAACATCACATGGAAAAACTACGTTGCCGTAAATGAATGTTGTTGTCATGGTCGACTTTTCCGAGGTGTCGTTGTGCATTTGTTTCAACTTTGCTCTTATTCGAAGCAATGTTACAGCAAAATGTTCAAAGTTACAGCTTCATGAAGGTAAACGATGAGCACGCTTTTTTTTCGTTTTTTAGGTAACCTGACCATAGGTCATGGTAACCTATTGTGATAGCCTTTTGTCCGTCGTCGTCCGTCGTGCGTCGTGCGTTAACTTTTCCTTGTGTGCAGCCATACATAATGTATATCAATAAGATCTCGGACGAGTTCGAAAATGGGAATTATTGGACTGAAACTTACAGAGTTATTGCCCTTTGTAATATTATTATTGTTGGACCTTGTGAACACGATAACTTGAGTAAATGTTAACCGAGTTTGATGAAACTTTGTAGGCAGTCATATTTCAATAAGATTCCGGACGAATTCGAAAATGGGAATTATTCGACAGTAGCTCACAGAGTTATTGCCCTTTGTAATAATATTATTATTGGACCTCGACCTTGTGAACACGAGAACTTGAGTAAATGTTAACCGAGTTTGATGAAACTTTGTATGCAGCCATATATCAATAAGATCCCGGACTCTAAATGGGAATTATTGGACAGTAACTTACAGAGTTATTGCCCTGTGTAATAATATTATTATTGGACCTTGTGAACATGATAACTTAAGTAATTATCAACCAAGTTTGATGAAACTTTGTATGCGGCCTTATATCAATAAGATCTCGAATGATTTGGAAAATGGGAATTATTTGAAAGTAACTTACAAAGTTATTGCCCTTTGTAATAATAGTATTATTGGACCTTGTAAACACGATAACTTGAATAAATTTTGACAGAGTTCAATGAAACTTTGTCCGGTAATGATTTGATAGTAACCTGCAGAGTTATTGCCCTTTGTCATTACATTACTATTTGTCCCTGTGATGTTGATTGACATTACACAAGAATGGATGTAAATTCATGTGGTGGTACACCTTTTCTTTTATTCATGACGCATTTTTGCTACTTACAAGGTGCTATTAAAATGTTGTGCCTTATTTAATAAATCATTGATATACGCTTTTACTTGTTTCTTTTAACCAAGAACAGAAGACATACAGTTACCAAGTTTGTTCAAAACAGATCCCTTGGGTCAAAATTGGAGTCACACCCATTTATTTCAGTTATCGTGTTCACAGGGTCCAACAATAATAGAATTACCAAGGTTAATAACTATGTAAGTTATGGTCAAATTGATCCGGTATTCAAACTAATTCAAGATATCATTGATACATAGCTGCATACAAAGTTTCATCAAAATCAGTTCATATTTACTGAAGTTATTGTGTTCACAAGGAAAAATTAATGGACGATGCAGCAAGGTCACTCGGACCGACGAAAAGGATGAATTGGCCCCTGGATGACAGTCCTAATTTGAATCGGATGTCAGGTGACCGTTAAGGCCCATGGCCCCTTGTTTGAGTGTACTCTCAAATCTTATGTATCTTTGGTTATTTAATTTTATTTCTTGTGTATATGAACAAGATATGGTAGCCTTACTGATCATTGCATGAGTGACATATATATAAATATACATAATATCAGGACTTGGATCCGTGATAATATACTACAGTATATAAATATAAATCTTATTAAAATGTTTCTTTAAAAACTATTTTAGTCATTCCAAAGATTTTGTACCACTGTAGGACTGCGAATACTGTAAATATTTAGTGTTTTTAGAGAAAGAAAAAGAATTTTGTAAAATATTGATTTTCCTTAAAAAATTGCACATTTTTTCCCCAATGTCCTCAGGTGAAAATTGTCAAATTCCTTCAGGAACAAGCTATTCAGATATATCTTCGATTTTTAACTTACCTTACATTATGAACAAATATTTAGTCTGCAACTAATTGAAATGAAGTGATTTTATCAAGTATAACCAGCTAATACAAAGAAAAAAACCCACACCAGTTTTACAAAAAACTGCACTTCTCTTTCTTCTTTTTCAAAAATTGGCGAGTTTTCCCACCCTTGCTTCAAGTACTGTGTTAATGCTTGACAAGAGGATACCCCAATCTGGGTTGTAAATTAGCTGTCCTTGGAGGCGAAGACTTAGAAAGAGGGGAGGGGGATGTAGCGGAACTGGACTGGCCGGTCAATCGTCAGTGACCAGGTAGCTCAATTGCTAGAACTTTTGTCTGGAGTTCAGAGGGTCCCAGGTTCGAATCCGGTCTGGTCGCGCATTTGTCTATTACAGATCTACACATACTTGCCAACTTTTTGAAATTTCCAGGGGGGGGGGGCAAAATTATTAGGAATCCGTTTACCCACAGGTACATATATAGTGTATGCTTACTTTTGTCCATTTTAATATGAGGGAAACACTGTCCGTGTTCTCACTCAAAACAAAAGAACAGTCTAAACTAGCGAGCTCCAAATCGTAAGTTTTCAAAATCATAGTGATGAATTGATCAATTTACTAATAAGTCACATCAGTCATCACGGCATCGATACATGCAACACGGGACAGAAAGTCATTCAAGAAACAAAACGGGGTAAACATCTGCCCGACATCCGACACACGTTAATTAAACAAAAATACAACTCGACCGGCAAGTGCCGGGGCCAAAACCACACTCAAAGTTATATCACTCTACATTATGTCCAATTTGGATTCTCCACCATGTACTTGGTTTGCGATGTGAGAGGATTATTAAGAGATGAATCGAAACAACTTCACTCTTCAATTTTTCATTTAATTCCCGGAACAGGAAGTCAAACAACAAAACACAGAACCAAGATACGGAGACGGAATAGCATAATACACAAAAAAGGTTAAATCCGGATATTTTATTGATGGTTATAATATAATATATACCATGTATATAACACTAGCCACAAGTCTCTGTACGTTTACCCACGTACACGTGTTTTGTTAACAACGCAATACTTGAATGACCACTAGATGATACACAGGTACATTGTACTAGTCTCGTCTGTCAATACGCCTATACTATTATAGGTGTATTGACAGACGAGGCTAGTACCTGTGGATGATATACAGAATGCATCTCGTATGTAACGAATTATGCTATTAGTCAGATGTCAGTTAATTAACTGCTCAAGACTTACCAAATAGCATCATAAGCTGTCCGACAATAATTCCCAACTGCAAAAAACTTTGAAACTCTGAAATGGCGTGTGTGTTTGGAGGAAACGGAGATCATGCCTGCTGAAGGAGAATACATTTAAAGTGCATATAAGAGGTAATATAGGATTTTTCGACAACAAGAGCTTTTCTACTTTCCCTTCTCGTATATATCATCATCGGAGGTGGCATTTTTACCGAAAGTTTACCTAAACCCTCAACATGTAAAATTACTGTGAACATCATAGTTTAGCTTCAAATATAGCTGTAACAAATTAGCAGGTCCCTGTGAGATGAAACACATAACACAGACAAATATAGCTGTAACAAATTCTCAGGTCCCTGTGAGATGAAACACATAACACGGACAAATATAGCTGCAACACATTCTCTTGTCCCTTTGAGATGAAACACATAACATGGCTAAATATAGCTGTAACAAATTCTCAGGTCCCTGTGAGATGAAACACATAACACGGACAAATGTGTTTGGTCGCTGTGATTCATCTTAAATAGGTATCTAGATCCGGGTGATTTTATCGTTAAAAACCAGAAACATTTTTATTTTTCTATCTGGAACTTGTTAACGTGTATAAATTCCTACTCTAAGCCAACAAAACAAAATTTAAATTCTGCATTGTTTATGCATACTGTAGTATTCCGAATATCCTCTGGCCATACAACCAGACATGAGCCTCATTATCACATACAGGTGTGCTTCAGCCCGAGCGTCTCCTCACCCTGCCATCGCATTATTGACAAACGATAGATAGTGTATACGTTATACACACCACAGGGACCTGAGAATTAGCAACAGCTACATTTTGACATACACTTATTAAGTGTTCAGAGTACTTTTATATGCTTAAGGGGTTTAGATCGACTTTTGGTAAAAATGTCACCCTAATGATTATATGATTATATACGAGTAGGGGGTGACATGTTTACCGAAAGTCGATCTAAACCCCTAAAACGTGTAAAATTACTGTGAACACCTTTGTTTAGGTCAAAATGTAGCTCTAACAAATTCTCAGGTCCCTGTGATAGATTTTGATTAAACTTATTGCATTGTACTATATGAAAAGTGAACGTTTCTGACGATTTGAACTTGCTTGAATTGAATGCAGAGTGATTTTTATATAGTTATTTCCGGAATATATA